CAAAGCATTCTCCCAACTTCCGCCCAAACACCTCAAACAACCGATGCAACTAATAATCAAAGCAAAAAACATTTTATCAACGTTTTAAAACTTTAGAAATAAGAAAGTGAAATATAGATACATTTATTTTACAAAATATAACAGAAATTGTCTCATTATCTTTACCCTTATTGGTCGTCGTCATCTTTATCTCTAAAAAGATCATCATCATCACCATCATCATTATCATCATCATTTTAATTTCCAAAGACAAAATTTTTCATCATCATCTCTGACGTCATCAAAAAACATCATCACCATCGTTCTCATCATTTATGACGTCATCGTCGATGTCGTTAGCACATTTTACTTTCCCGATACTATAAATCATCGCAAACCAACAACAACAAAATAGGATAAAAAAAAACTTTAATAACAACGTTAATGACGACAACATGAACAAAAACAACAACAACAACAACATGAACAACAACAACAACATCAACTCAAGCCAGCAACATCAACAACAACATGAACAACAACAACTATTACAACTCAAGCCAGCAACATCAACAACAACATGAACAACAACAACAACTTAAGCCAGCAACATGAACAACAACATGAACAACAACCACAACAACAAGTCAAGCCAGCAACATGAACAACAACATGAACAACAACCACAACAACAACTCAAGCCAGCAACATCAAAAACAACAGAACAAAAATTCGTGAAAAATTGAAATGTTTATTAGGTCGTGAAACCGTAAAATAAAAATAAAAAAAATTTTACTTCGTAGCTACCAGAGCCGAAATATAAAAGGCATCCAGAGCAACAACTCCTACAAACTTCATTGTAAAAAATTGTTGTGGAGTTGATAACAACAACATTGAAACCACCAAACAACATCATCAACAACATCAACTGCTTCAACATCAACAGTACAGCATCAACACACCATCAACAAAATTGTTGTCACCTTTCCTGACATAAATTCTAACAACAATATTTAAAACATACAAAAACAACAAAGATGTCAAAAACATTAACCATATAAAATTACACCAACAAATTTATCAACAACTTTATCAACAACTAACAACAAACAACAACAGCAGCAGAAATCAAATCATCAATATTAACAACAACAACAACAACTTTTATAACATCAACAACAGCAACACATCAACAATAACAACAACAACAACAACATCAACAACAACAAAACAAACATAACCAGATGTATCTCGTTAGCAAAGAATCGGATGCAAAGAATTCAGACTCCGGCCTAACAGAAAGATGTTTTTAAAAAGAAAATGGCTGCCAACACTCGGTGACGTCATGACGATCGCTATATTGCTTCATGCGCGCCACGCCTTCTCTGCCATGAAAACAAATGAGTTTATGCTGACGTCACCGCTAATACAGATTCCAATTGGTTAGTAGGTGGCCGGATGGATGGATGTTTGGATGGATGGTTGGATGGATGGATGGATGGATGGATGGATGGATAGATGGATGGATGGATGGTTGGATGGACGGATGGATGGGTAGATAAATCGAACCTTTAATTTGTTGTCATTTTTATGGTTTTTTGCTTTCGTGTTGGTTCCGAGTGTACGATGCATATGCTTCTATTTATATATCAAAAAATTTCTGTTCGTGTGTTGAAAGAAATAGATAGAAAGAGAGTAAGAAAGAGAGAGAGAGAGAGAGGGAGAGAAGAGAAAAGAAAAGAAGAAAGTGAGAAAAAAAAGGAGAAAAGTGTTTGTTGATAAAAAAACACAGAACATGGAAACTGACAACAAACTGACAACGCTCACCACAAAACACAAAACAAAAGACAGCCAATAAAATAATTAACCAGTAAACATAATTTCAGATATACAAACACAACTGTAGGCACAAAAACACACTTACAACCCACGAACACACCACACAAATACAGTCATACTATAAAACGTAATATACACGGATACTTACAATTACAGCAGACATACGCTGAAAACAGTTGACACGCAATTGCAAACACAAACACATACACAAATAAAATACACACACCCACAAACACGCTAGAATACGCACGGACAAACAACCATAAAGTTACACAAACATACGCGAAAACATACAAACAATAGAAACGCTATTAGATAATGATCATACACGAACATACAAACATATTAACAATTACAGAAGAATACACTTGGTAGACATGCAATTGTATAAGGATCCGAACTAAAAGTGGATGTTTAAGAGCGTTCGGTTGGTCAGTAGAACGGAATATCACGTCTGGGACATCTCAAATGTTTCATTCAATTTCATTTCATTCCTTTATTGGTTCATTCACTCGTACGATTGTTTACCCCTCTCAGTGTGGTTTTATTTCAATTTTACTTCTCATCCAATCATTTATATTTCGTTAACTAATTTTAATTATTATAATTCTCCATTAAAAGTATTAATATTCTATGCATCATTGAAACTTCAAGTTCGGCATTGCTCATCTTCCTAGCTAATGAACGACACAGTCGTTGTTCCATTCTTTCTCTTGTCGTCATACATGTTAAAAAACCTTTTTTATGCATATTTCCACGACCATCACCACGCCACGCCACACATCACTACACCAACACAACCAGGAATACAATTATGACGCTTGCCGTTTTGACACGACCCAGATATGACGTCACCCAAACTTGACGTGCGTTTGACCTAATTCAAATTGACGTTTTAATTTTACTTTCAAAGAAATGAAAAAAAAAGAAAAGAGGACAAGAGATGCTTAGAAAAACTGACCAATAGCAATTTGACTGCGTGTCACGTGCCTGCTACGTCATGCTTATGTATCGTAGTGACAATCGACCGATACTTGTGGGGTGTTATTTTTGTATATTTGTATGAGTTTGTATGTGTTTGTATATGTTTTTGTGTGTTTGTACATGTTTGTATGTGTTTGCATGCGTTTTTACATGTTTGTATGTGTTTGTATATGTTTGTATGTAGTTGTATGTGTTTGAATGCGTTTGTATATTTGTGTATGTGTTTGTATATGTTTTTATGGGTTGGTATGTAATTGTATATGTCAGTATGTGTTTGTTTATGTTTGTATGTGTTTTTATATATTTGTATGCGTTTGTGTATCAGCTTGTTGTATATGATTGTGCATATATACATACGTACATATGAACATAAATTTTCTTTAAACAACATGCACTTAAAGATGCGCATACAACAACACAAACCTGCAAACTTTTAATCAGCATATTTTTAGATTTAATTGTAACTCGATATATGGTGCCTATAATGATAATGAAGGATGGTGACGACAGTCATGACGATGATGATGAAGATGAAGAAGAAGATGATGATGATGGTGATAAAGATGACGATGAAGATGATGGTGATAGCGATAAAGATGGCGATGAAGATGAAAAAGAAGAAGATGATGATGATGGTGATGAAGATGAAAAAGAAGAAGAAGATGATGATGGTGATGAAGATGAAAAAGAAGAAGATGATGATGATGGTGATAAAGATGACGATGAAGATGATGGTGATAGCGATAAAGATGGCGATGAAGATGAAAAAGAAGAAGATGATGATGATGGTGATGAAGATGAAAAAGAAGAAGAAGATGATGACGGTGAGGAAGATGAAAAAGATGATGGTGCCGATCAATATAATGATATATTAATAACGAGGAGTTACAAAGAGGAATGCAAGGATAATGAACGAAGAGTATAATGTTAATCACGATGATGACAACAATGATGAAAATATCAAAGATGACGATGAAGAAGATGAAGTTGATGACGACGACGACGACAACGATGACGTTTTTATTTTTTTTTGCCATTGCTGGTTTCCTTTCAAAGTCAACAAACTCGTTCAGTCCTTGTTAAATTAAATTTTCATAAAAAAAGAATATAACCATGTCACAAACATGTGAACAAACAGATGATGAAGATGATGATAATGATGAAAAATAATAATAATATTAATAATAATATTGATGATGATGATAAAGTTCGTTTCTGTATCAAAATAAGCTTACTTTATTGCAATCAAACTTGAAATAAAAAGAGGCCCTAGTGGCCAAACTTGTAAGAACGATCAATGTCTGTCCATGAAGTACCATTCTTATACCATTGTTATTTTTACTTCTATTATCATCATCGTTGTTGTTGATGATGTTGTAGTTGTTGTTGCTGTTGTTATTAAAATGTAATTTATATTAATTAACATTGGCATATTATTTAGTAACAATTTTATTTTATTCATGGTCGTTGTTCTGTTACAAAACATGAACTAATTATTTACATGTCCATTTTTTAGGAAATGTTTATATTTTAAAAAAATGATAACATGAGTAAATGAGAAAATTTGAAAAAAACCGATAGAAAAACAAACTTGAAGAAGATTAGATTTTACAAAATCTGCAAAACACAAGCGAAGAAAAACTTTCAAACAGGATTACGACCTAAAAAAAATAAAGATTGGATTAGCGAAATAGAAAAAAAGGCAAAACTTTTGAAACAAATTTAACCTTAAAACAACTAGAAAAATAAGTTATATAAAAAAATGCATAAAACAATAAATGCGTAAGAGAAAAATACTGAGAAAATATTATAGAGAAAAATTAGTATATGAGTGAAAATAAGAAGCAGAAATAACAATTGGTAAATGTTTTTGAAAAAAATTTTAGAAAATAATATGATAATATGAGGCAATAAATTAGGCCAGTAAAAAATTTGTCTGGATAAATGAGGATGAACGGTTAAAATATAAAAACCCAAAAAAGTAAAATTGAAAAAATGTTATAAAATGAAAACAGTATAAAATTTTAAAAGTGAAAAAATTGTGTGAAAAATAAAAATAGAAGCGAACAAAAAATACTGCGAAAAATTAACTATAAAAAATTAAATATTTAAAAAAAATCAAAAACAGAGAAAAACTGATGAGAATATAAAATAATTAAAAATATAGAGCTGAAAAGGAAAACAAAACGACGGCGAAGATGAAGGCAAGAAAGATGAAGAGGAAATCAAAAGATGGAAATTCAGAGGAACGTGTCATAACTTTTATTGCTCCACTCAGTGCTCGCTTCTTCAAAATCATTTATTTCATTTCTACATTCATTTCATTTCATTTATTCACTCATTCATTTATTTTTTCATTCATTCATTTGTTCGTTCGTTCGTTCGTTCGTTCGTTTACTCACCCACTCACTCACTCACTCACTCACTCACTCACTCACTCACTCACTCACTCACTCACTCACTCACTCACTCACTCACTCACTCACTCACTCACTCACTCACTCACTCACTCACTCACTCACTCAATCATTCAAGCGTTCATTCTTTCGTTCATTTTTTCGTTCATTCATTCATTCATTCATTCATTCATTCATTCATTCATTCATTCATTCATTCATTCATTCATTCATTCATTCATTCATTCATTCATTCATTCATTCATTCATTCATTCATTCATTCATTCATTCACTCATTCATTCATTCATTCGTTCATTCATTCATTCATTCATTCACGCATTCATTCACCCATTCATTCGTTTGTTCATTCTTTTATTTATTTCTTTCATTCCTTCAAATTCGTTTCTTTTATTCCCTCCTTAATTCATTCAGTTCTTATCATATATTACTGTGAACTCAGGTGTGTGGCTGTTTAGCTTCATATAAGTATGAATTTTCATGTTTGTCTATGTGTGTGTGCGTGTGTACGCTGTTAGTCTGTGCGTGAGCGTGTGCGTGTGTCTGTGTGAGGTTTTTAGGAATAAACATTTTTTGTGTGTATGTAAGGTTTGGCTTATTACACCGGACTTCATCATAATCTAAATGTTTAAATGTTCGTTTCATGTTTCTTTCTACAATGATATTTATTACCAGCGCATTCGAACAGATACAAACAACCATACATACATACATACATACATACATACATACATACATACATACATACATACATACATACATACATACATACATACATACATGCATACATACATACATACATACATACATACCCGTTGTTTATAATTCTTCTGCCGCTGCCACTCTCGACCTACAGTCTTCCCTGCTCCACCGGTTTTTTCGTTGCCGCGATATTCTTCCCCCAGCGTCCGCCCCGGGGGACCGTACGCACGTCCAAATTTTGAACGAAGAATATAAAAAAATCTTTCAAAATTTGTTGTCTTCATGCGGCGACGACTTTTCCACCGCTCGTTTGTTGGCCATGTCCAGCGTTGCCAGCTGTGGGTGGTTGAGATCGTGGCCTAACACCTCTGTGGGCACCAGGCTTGACGACGAGTCTGTAAGATTTGCCATTGGCTTCAGACTTGGCCTGGTCATTCAGAATAAATACACGTGCCGATGTGGCGCTGAGGCGGACAAGTTTGGGCACCACGGTTTGGTTTGTCGCCTGGGTGGGGGCCGTCAACTACGTCACTCAGCGCTAAACGATTACATTTGTCGGCTCTTCTCCAAGGCTTCAATCCCGGTTCTCAAGGAACCATCCGGCATTTCTGCGCATGATGGTAGGCGACCGGACGGATGCACGCTAATACCTTGGAGAGCCGGCAGATGTTTGGCGTGGGATGTTACGGTCCCTGGCACCCTCGCCGAACGATACGTAAACCTGACAAGTAAAGAATGCGGTTTGGCCGCGGCCAGGGCAGCGGACGAGAAAATGAAAAAATATGGGAATGCCCTCCCCTCGATGGAATTCTTGCCAATATGCATCGAGGTTCTCGGCCCGATAGACCCCAACACCCTTTAATTTCTTAAGGAAATAGGCAAAATGATCAGTGTCAGATCAGGTGACAGCAGGGAACTGTTTTTTGCAACCAACCACATTTCGTGCTTGTTGCAGCGGTTCCTGCGTGTCTGTGTGCTTGAAAATATCCAACTGAATGCCGCCACGTGCAATTAACGACAAATCAAAGTGTTAATCCATTTGTTACTTGATGTTTGACGGTTCAGTGTCACTCATCATGTTTTGGTTTTAACATACATACATACATACATACATACATACATACATACATACATACATACATACATACATACATACATACATACATACATACATACATACATACATACATACATACATACATACATGCGGTTGTTCTACCAGTCTTGAAAAAACCGCATTTAGATAAAAATGATATGGCAAATTATAGACCAATTTCGAACATCTGTTTCATGTCTAAGATTATTGAACGGATTGTGGCTACAGAACTTCTAACCCACTTGAATAAACGTAAATTGATGCCTGTATATCAATCTGGGTACCGACGTCACCACTCAACAGAAACTGCTTTGATGTATGTATCATCGGAATTGTTCGCTGCAATTGACAAACAGCATGTTGCTCTGGTAACGTTTTTAGATATGAGTGCAGCATTCGACTGTGTTGACCACCAGATACTTTTAGACAGACTGGTTTATGATTTCGGAATTTCTGGTTCTGTGTTTAGATGGCTACGATCATATCTGATGGGAAGAACTCAACAAGCTCTTTTTAATGGTGTATTGTCTGATGTGGGCACAGTGTCTTCTGGAGTACCGCAAGGCTCGGTTCTGGGGCCGTTACTTTTTGTGCTATACACTGCAGAGCTTTTCGAAAATATTGATATTTTTGGTTTTAAGTACCATGCTTACGCAGATGATATTCAAATAGTAATTAGTGGTAATCCGGATACATTTCAGAGAGAGATAGACAAACTTGTTGAATGTCTGACCAGAGTCGATGAATGGATGTCAAACAACTGTCTCAAACTGAATCAACATAAATCGCAATTCCTTCCCATTGGCACTTGGCAACAAATGTCAAAACTCAGTATTGATTCAGTCATGATACAGAATGAGAGTATTACGTTTTGCAACAAGGCAGCAAATTTGGGTTGCATTCTTGATTCAGGTTTGATGATGAGAGATCATGTAAAGATGCTGACAAAATCGTGTTCCATACAGCTGCAGAGATTGAAAAAAATACATAAATCACTGGATCAGTCGACAACACAGGCTTTAATACATGCATTTGTGCATTCAAGACTGGATTACTGCAATGGTTTATTTTATGGATTGTCAAAAAAGTCTATTGCTTCCCTTCAGTCTATTCAGAATAGAGCAGCCAAACTTGTTGTAGGTAGTTCAAAATATGATCATGTTACGCCAATTTTAAATGACCTCCATTGGCTTACAGTCAGGAAAAGAATTGTATATAAACAGTGTGTTCTAATGTACAAAGTTCTAATGTACATACATACATACAACCTTACAAACATATCTAAACAAAATAATCAACAGAGAACGACAACTTGGGTAAATATTGTTTTATAAAATTTTTCAATATTTTTGAGCAATTATAAAAGAAAAATTATTGTACAAAAATAATAACAAAAATATTAAATTTTTTGGGGTTTCTTTTGCTCCCAAATTTCCAACCCACACACACACGCACACACACACGCACACATCTGTATTTAAACCAGGAAACAAACAGTAGAATTAGATTTCAGGTTGACTGTACAATATTGAAAAATATTGAAACAAAAATATTGGATTGCCACAGAGTGTTTAATTCACTTTTGCTAGGCTTGAATGTCTGTTGTTAGTACAGTATGATTGATAGGAAGATTTGAAAATGTTTCTAATTGATTTAATGGATTGATTAGTTGGTTGTTTGAGAGTTGGTCGATTGAATTTGTTGATTGATTGTTTGATTAGCTAGCTTGTTGGTCGAGACGATGGAATTACATTGGATGGATGTGTTTTTTGGTAATGGTAATTGTGTGGAAGAGAAGGAAGTTTTTATTGGTGGGTTGGAAGGATGGCTGGTTGATTGATTGATTAATAGATCGGTTAGTTGATTGTTTGAAAGATCGGCTGTATATTTTGTTTGTTGAATTCACCGTTACGTTTGATTAATCGATTGGTTGATTGGTTGGTTGGTTAGTTGATTGGTTGGTTGGTTGATTGATCTCACAAAAATATATAGACGTATGTATTCTGTACATAAAACCACTTCAGCATGAGCAATCTTAGCAGAAGACGACTAAAAACCCTTTTAATTCCATTCAGTTTAAAAAATATTTAAACAAATTTTTAAAAAAATCTAATTGAATTTAATAACAATTTTAACTTTAATTGAACTAAAAACAACTGTCAAATATTTGAACGACACGAGCGCTCTCCTAATTGCAAAACCAAAAAAAACAAGTAAGCAGAAGATAAAAAAATTAATTTCACCACTAACGCAAATGGCACACAGAGGAACCATACCTCAAACGGACATATGGCGTTCAGCTCTGCTTTGCATGCAAAGAACTCTTAACTGTTACCAAAATGATTTTTTTTTCATTTTGAAATTCAAGTTTCGACTTTATTTACAAAAGTTTTTTGTATGAATGGATTTAAAAATATGTAATTAATTTTTGTTTTTTTTTAATAATTTAATTTTAAAATAGTTTCTTAAAAATTGTTTATTACGGCTATAATATGTTAACGAGTCGTACATTTTTTATCAGAAATGCACTTTGAATTCTGAAATATGCTTTTAAATTTTCTGTGTTTATGAGTTTTTTATTTTCAAGTATATGCGATACATGCATGCATGTCCAAAACCCAAAACTCAGAATATGCAGTAGCTATACAACCGTTTTATACAATACAGTGATGTTTGTCTCTATTTGCAGTGCAATTCTGATTTGTAAGCACGTACATACACACACAAAAAGTTTTTTTTTATAAGAGAAATAAAAGCAGAGATAAGTAGTGTACAGTTTTGTGTACGTTTTCAACGTAGAAAGAGTGTGTGTGTGTGCGTGCGTGCGTGTGTGTGTGGTGTGTGTGTGTCCGTGTGTGTGTGCGTGTGTGGTGTGTGTGCAAATAATAGAGATGAATGTGTTTGTGCGTGTTGTAATTTTTGCAGGTTGATCGAGAACAATTGTCCGCCAGCACCTTCTGCGTTGTTTTCCTCTCTCTCTCTCTCTCTCTCTCTCTCTCTCTCTCTCTCTCTCTCTCTTTCTCTCTCTCTCTCGGGGGCTGGTGGAAATAAATTAATCTGCATTGGTCTTTGTTAGACACTGCCGGCAGCTGCTGTTGCTGCTGTTGTTGTCGCTGATGAGGACGACGACGACGACGATGATGGTGATATTTGTGATGATGATGATGACGATGACGATGTTGATGTGGTTGTTGTTTGTTGTTGGATTGTTTTCGTTTAGTTGTCGTTCTTGTTTTATTTTTTTAGATTGTCGTTCTCGGTTTGTCTGTTTGTCAATTTATTTTTGAGTTGTGAAATTTTGTTTTTTTTCATTCATTCATTCATTCATTCATTCATTCATTCATTCATTCATTCATTCATTCATTCATTCATTCATTCATTCATTCATTCATTCATTCATTCATTCATTCATTCATTCATTCATTCATTCATTCATTCATTCATTCATTCATTCATTCATTCATTCATTCATTCATTCATTCATTCATTCATTCATTCATTCATTCATTCATTCATTCATTCATTCATTCATTCATTCATTCATTCATTCATTCATTCATTCATTCATTCATTCATTCATTCATTCATTCATTCATTCATTCATTTCATTCGTTCATTCATTCATTCATTCGTTCATTCGTTCATTCATTCATTCATTCATTCATTCGTCCGTTCGTTCATTTTTTCGTTCCATTGTATGTTCTTCCTTCCATCAACGCATTTATCCATCCATCCATCCATCCATACATACATCCATCCGTACATCCATCCATCCATCCAATCAATCTCTCCATCCTGACAATTTATTTCAAATCGGTACATCTCACGTAGCGAATATCGTTGAGATATCAACTTTAATTCCATGCTAATGTTGTTTCCCCCCTCCGTTACGCCATATTGGAATTTAACTAGCGCTTCATTTTTATTCTTCATCCGATTTGTTTTCAATCTGTGTATGTTTTTATCTCGTTCACTCATTCATTCATTTATTATTGTGTTTATTTTGTTTTTGCTTATGTATTTACTAATCATTTGTATTATATTTCATTTTCGTTCTTTGTTGGTAACATTAAAAACACATTAATACTTAATAACACTTTAGCAGGCCAACATTAATAAGCTGACATTAACTAGTGGGATTGCGGCTTGTAAAAGATAAACAGCCACAAAAGTAACATTAAGCCGGGCAAGGGCGAAACATCAACGTGTTTGGTTTTTTTATGATTTTATTATTATTTTTATTCTTCTTCCTCTTTCTATTTTTTTCTTCTTATTCTTATTCTTATTATTAATGTTGTTGTTGTCGTTGTTGTTGTCGTTGTTGTTATTGCTGTTGCACTTTCACCAACTGAACTATTATTTTTGTTGTTGTATTTTTGTTTTTATTAATCCTGTCAATTTTATTTCTTTTCCAACGGTGGCAAAACACACAAATATAAAAAGCAACTTGCATACAACAAACCACACACAACAACCCACAAACAAACAACATTAACACGCGTACAATAGACACACAACACAACACTCAACAACAACAGCACCAACACGCACACACAACCCACATACAAACAACATCAATACACATACAACACACACATCAACAACAACAAAACATACACAGCAGCAACAACAAAACATACACAGCAACAACAACACACAACAACGCACGTATCATCATCATTTGGAACGACAAACAAACATATTGAACTGTCATCGGCAGAATTCCTCCATCACAGCTACCAAACAAAATTTTGTCAAAATATCAA